GCAAGAACCCTTCAGTCCTGGGGCTTTCTACAAGATTAAGTGATGTATTCAGATAGGCAATGTCTCAGGAGGATTTTCAGTGCCTGGAAGATGTAAAGCTCATTCTAGTTGAAGGACAGCAGGGTTTGCAATTGGTGTTTCCCATTTGCTTCCCACTAAGGCTTGTTAGGGTGTGTTTTGGAGCCTGGCATCCTTTTGTGAAAGTACTGAGAGAACAGCCATCTTTGCAATGAATGTCAGTCTTCATCCTTCTCTTGGAGATGATCGCTGCCTGCTAATCCTTCACATGCATGTTCTGGAGGGGCAAAGCCCAAAGGGGCATAAAAAAGCTATATGTTAGCCTCTTGACTTCGTGGAGAGAGAAAGAATGAGTGATCATAGTCCTAACCAAGAGAATGAGGTATAGGTTTAATTTGATGTTCTGCCAAAGATTTTTTGGGTGATTTTCAGCAAATGCTGCCTTACCTTGGTGGGAGCTATGCAGATGAAAGACAAAAAAACTGTCAGGTCTTGGAGGAACCACTAGCAGCTGCAGGTAGCTGGATACACACCAAAACCAGAAGAGCTGTGGGGCAGGATTAAGTTTTAGTGTTTGTACTCTCTAGGCAGCATCAGGGCCGTCCACAAGCAGACCCACAGTGCCAAGGGCTGTTCCTTTCATCTGCACCACTTCCAAGACAAGGGTCCCAGCAGACAGGAGACCCTTCTCCTGGGTGGAAGGTGCTGATGCAAAGGAACATGTCTCTGTGCAAAGCCTCAGCTCCCCGCTGGTTTGCTGCTCTCAGGAGATCTGATCATTTTCCTGACAGACTCCGCTGTGACCTCATTCCAAGTGATTTTTATTGAGTAATGTTTCTGTCTGGAGGTTGAGCTCTGCCCTCAGTTGCGTGTGTACGTGTACGCCTATGGAGCCTACAGACGCTATCCTGTGCTACCCTGCTGCAAAACCCCCTCGTTCTCTGCAGGGTCATCTCTGCAGAAGATGAGTCATTTTTTTATGTTTATAGTTCTGGTGATGACACATGTGGCAATCTTTGTTTTCCTCCCTTCACTGAGACTGTGTGAGCACGCAGAGTTAATTGGATTAAAAAATACCAAACAGGATTATAAAGTTATGCTTGTGTCTGAACAGTTCAGAAGCTGAAGTTTCTCCTTGTGAGAAGGTGTTTCTGATCCTGTTGGAGCAGAAGTGCATCTCTAGGTCTGTTCTGATGGACTCTTCTCCAATTAAAGTGTTTTTCAGGTGTGTTATGGGCCAGAAAAGTACATAAATCGCCTATACTACAGTACTGTCAATCAGGTTTTATTCCTGTGATGCCCAAAAGAGAAAGCCATGCAGCAGGATTTGACAATTTATTGTAAACGATTCATTTTGTTAAAACACTTTTATTGTCCGGAAGTTACCATCCTTCTTTTTTCAGTAGCTTACTGGCCTGTATTTGTAAAGGATGGTATGAAACAGAGGATGTGATATCAGAGTCCAGTGGGAAGAGGACTACTGCCCTACTTCTCAGCAAGCCCTCTGGCTGGCACTGGCACAGCAAGCTCCTTTGTCATCTTCAAGATGATAAGACTCGGGATGCTTCAGCTGATTTATAAGGAGTCAAGGATATATGATGTGAGCTTAATTCATAATGGGATTGAGCTGAAAGCATTAATGCTGTTTTACTGCAGATCTGACATTAACATTCACACTATGTCTGATGGATAGTGCAGAAGAAGCAAAGTAGGTTTTCTAGTGGGTCTGGTAGCAATCCATCTGGCTCAGCCTGATGAAATTATTGTTGCAATTTACTAATCTAGGCACAAGAAAATCCATCCATGACTATAGATATGTAAAAACACTAAAAAACACCCCACAAATGCAACATTTTGTCTATGTAAAAAAAAAGAAAACAAAATAAAGAAAGAACACTGCTGTCAGGTAGGCAGAAAAATAGAATTTTGTAACACCTGCATAGCAATTTTGCAAAACCTTATTTTCTCCTGTACCAAATAAAGGGTACTTCCTTACTTCAAAGAGGAGCAAGGCTGTGTTCTTCATATTTTGAAGGAATTTGGAGTGACTGGGTATAGTACATTGTAAAGATGAAAAATATTAGCATATGAAATTAATTCTGGAAGCCCCAATTTCAGGCCAAATTTGCTAAGCCAAGCTACAGCTGCCTTTCAACTATGAGTAGAGAGCTGTAAAAAGTGCCATATTATGGGCACTGAAAGAGTGCATGTGAACTGAACTTCATTGTTGATCCTACTTGCCAGCATTTTTGGATTTATGTCCCACCATGCAGAATATTTGCTTCACCTTTGCTTTATGGCAGTGAAGGGTTTCTCATAGGCTTTGAATTATGACAGAATTAGAATGTCTCCCATGGCAGAAAGTCCTTAAATATACTCTTAAACATTTGAGTTTTATATTGAGATGCTTATGAAGGCTGGATTTAGGCACTTGTATCTCCTTTCTCCCCAAAATGTGTCCTCCTTTTCTGCACTGGGAGTCTTACTGGGCAGATTTTCAACAGTGCTATAACATATCTGGATTTCTGAAATCCCTGCCAGAGCTGAGGCTTTGCAGCTGCAGAGAGAGCTGAGCAAGGAGGTTACTTGGCTGGGTGCAATGAGCAGCAAGAACAATTTAAGCAATGGCACCCAAGAGACAACAGCGGGAGGAGGCTTCGCAAGCCGAAGGGTGAAACCCAGGTTGGGAGCTTGAGAACAGGCTGAGACAGGTGGCCACCAGATGAGGGGGAGGACTGGGAAGGAAATGGAAAGGCTGAACTGTTGGTGTGGTCATGAGAAAGCTCTGGGAGAAGGACACACGGGATGTGAGAAGGTCTGTGTCGGGGAGGTCACATTTCCATTCATGCCTCTTGCCCCATCAAAACCAGAAAACCAGGATACTGGCAAGCGATGGAGACACCTGTCCCAGAGAACTGTAGCTGTCACACTCATCCTGCCAGAGATACACTGGTGCTTTGGCGAGCGGCATGCCCAAAAATACCAACAGCGCATTCTTCATTTCAGTAGGTATTTCAAGATCAAAAGTTGACAACTAACAAGAAGTAAATAGTCTGGAACAAGTGAATACCTGAGGAATATCCCTTCCCCTAGAACTGGTTGTGATCAGGCAACAAAAGCAGCATTACATTAGGTCACTACCACAGTGTACAAAGAGCTCAGGAAGTTTAAGCTAGAGGAACTGTTTTTATCAGGGTTTTATTGCTTTCACTTTGTTTTAGTTCAGCTGCAGAATATTTGCCAGAGGAGCTGGAGAAGCCAGTTTCAGTCCACAAAAATGCCAATGATTTATTTATTGCTATCATTTAGGGAAAGGGCAGCAGTTGCTGGTCCTGAATATTTAACATCTCAGGGAAAAAGGGAGCCGCTCTGAAGCCTGCATCTTCCAGGGAAGCACTGTGAACCAGCATGCCCCACTGGCCTCCCAAATTCAGAGGTGGGAGAGCTGTGAAGTCATTACCCAGCATACTCTTATAGAGGCTGAGACTTCATCTTCAGACCTCAGCTTGCATGGTCATGAGCAGCCTGTTGAAGAGACCTTAGCTCCTCTCTGAGCTGTGACCTGCTACAAAAGCCCAGGTAAAGAGATGAGGTGCATTTACAGCTCAGAAGGCATTACCTGCATAGCATTCATCTCAGGAAAATTGCAATTTGTTTTTCTTCACGCGTCACTTATAATAATTCCCAAAGAGCAGCAGGTGGGTGAGATTCGCATCAGTGTTCTTGCCCACCCAAAGCCAGCTACAGCGAGATGCCTTTTGAAATGCTGAAGGACTGTTCTTAGCTCACTTTCCCCCAGTTCCTTGCTTTTCCAAGGGACTCAAGCAATGACTCTCAGTGTCTCTAGCTACCAACAGACCCAACCCACCAGACGTTTCTCAAAAAAGCATTCTGTAGCAGCCAGGCCACAGCCACACACGGAAAGAAGGGAAGACAATTTCCCATGCTTCTCGTGTGTCACACTCACCATACAACCTCCTTCTTCAACTTGTCACCTGCTGTGTTGGGATTTCACTGCTGTTGTTGGCCATGCAGGAAGCACGCCTGACTGCAGATGGGACAGAGTGTCAGGAGATGGCCAGCACCTGCCTCTGACTCTCCCCAAGGAGTCATCCAAGGGAGAAGCTCTTAGAGAAGCCTGTGTCTTCTTGTGACCATTGCCATCTGGGAAACACCCTCAGGAGAAGGGTGACCCTCAGACACTTCGCAAGTGTATGGAAGAAAAAAAAATCAAGGTTGCTTTTGAAGGAGACCATTTCAAATCTCATCATAGCCAATTTGCAAACAGATATTCTGGCTGCATTGTTTTAAATCAATATTTAGCAGCACACAGCATTCCGTAGCAAGATCTGTACACAACTTAGGACCGTCCTGATACTTTATTTTCTGAAAATCTGTTTTTGAATGCTTAAGGAAATAGAAGCTAAAAAGGTGAATGCCCTGATGACTGGCTATGGTTATATCCCTACTGGAACTGGACCATCTAGCAAGCCTCTCACTGCCCATCATGATACAAGAGTGAGATTTAACCATGCTGTCATCCATGATTTAGTACAGGATGAGGCTTTGCAGGCCCCGACTCAGCAGGGGTGGTGAATTTTGTCTTCTGAAGCTTTCATTGTCTGAGTTTTGAAGGTTGCTTCCTCAGAAGCCAAAGGGAGCTCTGAAACTGTGAGCTCCCCAGAGTTGGCTTGGTGGGCCTCCTTAATAACAAGCAATTAGGCAGACAATGAAGGAAACATATTTGCATAACATGCTCAGACCAAATGTTTCTATGACTCACCCTGAGTGCACTTTCCAGGAGAGCATTGTTTCCAGTGTTGCTGGAGGGTGACAATAAATTAATTAGCCTCTTTAAAATTTCTCATAAAATTGTATTAACAAAACGGTAAATACATTACACAGAGACCGTAACCACAGGATGTTTACATAATGCCCACTGTGGACGAGTACTAAATACCATAAAAGACCTGAGACCCCCCCGAAAAGTCCGCAAGTTCTGGCTCTCACAAGGCAGCTAGAGCACCATTGTTCCTCCTCCTCTTTCTCCTCCTCTTCTTCCTCTTCCCCCTCACATTTCAGCTTCGGTGTTGTGAACTTTGCTGGTGGTTATTGCAATTCCTATGGCTAGGCTTCCGTTGTCGGAAAAAAGCTGAGCCAGGGAAGTGTTCAGCACAAGGCAATCCCCGTCCGAGATGACAGAGTCAACACACTCCAGTACCGACCTGGGGGTCGCCTCCCACTTGAGGCGTCTCTGGTTCCTATTGAGCTCCAGTCGGTAGGTGAAGTTGTCGGCTTGAGTCGGCGTGCCGATCAGCATCATCGTAGCAAAGAACTGGGGGTGGCCTTCATATTTCTCCTGCTTCCTAAGGACCAGCAAAAACTGGTGGCCAAGACAAGAGTGCATGATGATCCAGTCCGTGGGTGCGGGCAGGTGCATGTCCGTGGCCAGGAAGACAATCTCTGCTCCCTGAAGGATGTTGATGCGGTGTGTCTGCCTCAGGTGGGACACCACCACCTCCAAGTGCCCTTCCCATGGGCAGGAGAAGAGCGGGCACGTGCAGGGAACCAGTTGAGGGTCGTGTACTGCTTCGTGGTGATGGCAGGAAGGAAGGACGCCTTGCTCCACGGATGTCTGCGCAGCTGCACAGAGGGTCGGTGCATACTACAGGAAGAGAGAAAATACATGTGATTGCAAGTGGACCAGGAATTGCTGCAGATAAGCAAAGTGCAGACCCTGCAGACACCAGCCACCTAACATGCCACCTAAAACAGCGCTGGTGGGAACACCAGGAACTCAGCACTGCCGAAACTGGGCTGAGATCAGGAGCAATCCAGGCCTGGATCTGTGCAGCAAAAGGTGCTGTCAGTTACCTTATTCTCCAGGAGAAGAGAGAAACCATTTAAGCCATGACAAGTCACTTCAAATGAAAGTGATATATGTGTTTAAAGAGCAATTTCATTAGTTTGGGGGGAAAAAATCTGATTAAAAAGAAAAAAAAGCCCAACAAAGCAAGGACAGCATGGAGTATTTTATATAGTTAAGGCTCTTGCAGCTCAGAACAAGGAAATGAAATATGTATGGCTTTATTATTCTTTAATGAAACACACTGGCAAATACAGGAATTTCTCCTGAAACAATATGCTTTATAACAGCCATAATTTGTGAAATAAAAGTCAGTTTTTATTGTATACGACGCCTTCATTTTTTTTTGTGTCAATGTATTTGTGCTTAATTGATGCGCTTACCTCCATAAATCTTAAGCGGCTCTCTAAGGTGGATGGATGGCAAATTAAGGGCATTTTTATACTAAAGTAAATTTGGATTAAGGTAGGGCAGCTAGCTGAAGAGGCAGCAGCTCTTGCAAAATAATTCCACGTGAGGACTAGGAAGCAAACTGCTCTGCCTCTGTCAAGTGGATGTTGTTGAAGAGAAATGCATAAGTCTTGTTCTGCCAAAAGTGTATCCACGTGTAATGCTATTCAGGAAGAGCAATGGCTCTCTGCAATAACTCTGTGCATAGACAAACCCTAAGGCACAGGCATGCCTATCATGATTCATCCTACCCAATTTTAAGCATTTACTTCAGCCACCCGAGACGGAAACCTGGTTACCTTGGACTGCCTCTGCAGTCAATAGAAGCAGGCAGCCCTTCCCAGTGGCGGATTCAGATCTCAGCTGGAGTAATTCATCTCCTAAAGGTGGCACCGGCTGCAGCCAGAGTGACTAAGGCCGAGATCCAATCTGTCCAGTTGCACCTAAATTTTAGATGCTCAAAAGTAGGAGGACAATGTCTCCCTCTGAACCCCTTTGGAGATGCTTAGAAGAATTAAGAGTACATATATATACACGTAGATTCTGCTTTAACATATGTTTTAGGAAGATTCATGTAATTCCCCAGACACTGCCCCATGTCTGCTCATTTTAACATATATACCCAATAGGTATATACAGGACAGTATGGTCTTAAGATCTAAAAGTTGTTTTCCTCCATGTCACATCCAAGTCATAGCAGATTTGGGCTTTATTAAGCTGTTTTTGAGCAGTTGTTTGTTTTAACTAAGGGCAAGGGTAGTCCCATACAATAAGTGCCAGATATGTTGCAAATGGTGCGTTGTCTCATCTCTCTACAGATACCATGATTGCCTTTCATTACAGCCTTGCCGTGAGAGTAAACGTTCTTACTGCACACAGTCTTTCCCCTCAGAACTTGCACTTTTGCTTTCCAGGATGTTTTGGAAGGCAATCTCTTGGGTCAGCTGTCCCAGCTCTCACACGACCAGGCTGACAAAGTCCTGGATCTCCGTTCAGGATTTTCATTTTGTCAGTAGCTGCCAAGGGATGTGATGGGCAGAACAGGGTTGTGATTGCTGCTGCTGTGTAATGCACGGTTCTTCCAAGACACTGAGTGTCAAAGAGAGTTCTTTCATCTTCCTCTGACATTTGATATGAAGAATAATTGACTATTCAAGCCCTGTTACTGAACCTTGTAGTCTTTTCTTGGGAGAATTATTGCTTCAATAGTACTGTTCTACTTTTGCCTTCCTCATTTTTTATTTGTTTTGCTGTATAAAATTCAAGAATATAAACTTTCCAACAAGATAATGAATTGAGGTCAGATAAATGACTATCATTGTCTGGGAAATAAAACAGGTCATTATAAACCCATCGAGGTTTGTGGCTTTAGCTGCCTACTTATCGTGGTGCAATTGCTGGAGAGGTGGTGGTTCACACTTAATTCTACATTAATTTTTGCATCCTATTAGGATGAAAGTTATGGTTAATTTGAACTCTTTTGGTGGAGGCAGCTACTGCTATGGCAGATTGTAAAAGCCTTTTAAAAAATCTCTGAAATGCTAATTGCCTCATAAAATGTATTCTAATCTCCCAATCTAATACAGTGGGTGTGAGCAATTACTTTCTCTCACCAAACTGTTAATGCAACATTAGTGATTATACTAATTAAAACTAATGAACTCATACTCACATGCTGATAAACCTCTCAACCACTCGACAACTTCCAGCCTTCTATCAGTTTTATTTAACTCCTCTTTAGGAAGATGAATCTTAAATTAACCTCTTGAATAACATTCAAAATTAGGTTTTGAAATGTGAAGCTTTATAGACTGTGTATAATTCCTCTCCAAAGATTACCCGAGTCAGAGAAACCATTTCCACTGAGGTTGTAATTGAATTTAGAAATGCATTATCCTAATTTGATAAGCATGGAGAGCAATGGTAGCTCATCGATCTAAACTGGAGCCAAGGTAAGAAAATAGAAGTATCCCCAAAAATTACTTTATGACAAGCACATCTCTATGTCTCAGAAACTGGAAAAATAAATTACAATAAGCAAATTATTCAATGCATCTTTCTTCTTTCCTTCATTTGTGATTTTGTGTGTGTGTGTGCAAATAATTGAGAATTCCCTTTCACATTTCACATTTTTGAAACATTTTCATTAATCAGTTCGGCAAAGGATTTTTAGTCCGACTTTGTTCAGTTCAGATTTATTGAAATTTCTGGAAATCCAGCACAAACCATGTGATCTATTTTTATTCTCTGGCTAAGTGAGAATCATCTTCAAAATCTGGTTTCTGAATTATTCAACATATCTGTTTCTAAATTCCAAATTTGTAATATTCTGAAAGAAACTTTTAAAAATTCCCTGATTCTGTGAAAAAAAAAGTCTCACAGAAAAATATAATTTTACTTTTACTTTTGAGGTATAACTATTGGGGTGCCTGTGTTGGTCTGTCATATAGCTGTAAATTGAACCTCTAAAACTGACATACAAAATGGGTATAAAATGGTCACCTTGAGGGCATTTAAATGTTTAAATGAATATTTATGAACATTTTTTCTATGTTTAATCTGCTCCAGTATTTACTTTCCATTATTTATTGCTCAATTACCTAATAAAATCAGGTTTATTATATTGTTGTGTTAGTCTAGTATTATTCTCAGTTATCTTTTAGCCCGTTGGCCAATTTCAGTCAAATTTAACTGTGTGACAGAAGTCTCAAAGGCTTTAATTTTCAACTGGTTTTGTGAGAAGAGGCAGCAAGATAGAGAGGTATGACCCTTTCATGTCTCTGGGGAGGAACAGCTTGTCACATGGGCAATGTTACATTGTCAGATAGGAGTGAACCTAAACAAGTGCAATCTGATCGCAAATGTATTACAGACACCAGAGAACCCACGTGAGAGGTCTTTATGAACAGGAGAAAAGGCTCCAGCGAGAGCGCTCCTCATTAGACGCGAGATAATCCCACCACAAGACACCAAACCACAGGAAACCAGGCTCTGCCGCTCACAGAAAAATTTCTTTTTAATGATGCAGCTTATTACAGTGTAATTCTCTTTAAGAACAAGTCATTTGGCAAAGAACAATTTATAAATACACAGTGCTTTTCTTATGGGGGGGGGGAATGAAAAAATATTATATTTGGACCCTGGACATAGCGCTTCTGGGTCCTGCCTCAGCCTTTCTCCAAACATTCTGCTAAAAATGCAACAAACCCCTCTAGATGTGACTCGCCTGTTCTAACTTTCATTTCATAGATTTCATAGATTTCATAGGTTTCTAGGTTGGAAAAGACCTTAGAGATCATCCAGTCCAACTGTCCCTAATCCCTTGTGATAGGACAAGGGGTAATGGTTTTAAAATAGAGGGAGGTAGATTCAGATTGGATATTAGGAAAAAATTTTTTACCATGAGAGTTGTAGAACACTGGAACAGGTTGCCCAAAGAGGTGGTGGGTGCTCCATCCCTGGAGACGTTCAAGGCCAGGTTGGACGAGGCCCTGAGCAACCTGATCCAGTTGGAGATATCCCTGTTCCTTGCAGGGAGGTTGGACTAGATGACCTTTGAAGGTCCCTTCCAGCCCTAACCATTCTATGATTCTATGATTCTAATCCCCATTAAACCATATCCCTAAGTAGTTCGTCCACCCTGTTCTTAAACACATCCAGGGATGGGGACTCAACCACCTCTCTGGGCAGCCTATTCCAGTGGCTGACAACCCTTTCAGAGAAGAAATACTTCTCTGAAATACTCTGCCCATGCAGAGCCCAGAGCCTCAGAGTGCAATTCACTTCATCCCAAGAGAAGCCAAAGGAACATTCTCCCAGACACCACTCTCTACACGCAGCCAAGACCAAACCCACCCTCAGGGCAGACCCACAGAGGTTTTACTGTTTTCTAGGTGAGGAGCAGAAGGGCACTCCTATTTCGATCAGGAGAGAGTTGCACTGCTATGGTCTTCTCCTGCTGCACTGGAGACAACGCAGTCCGTGGAGAGAGAAATGGATGCCTGTTGACACGAGGGCGTAAATCTGTGGCTTCCTTCCACCAGTAAACCTCCACTCACCAGTGACTTGATAGAAAATCCAGGAGAAGGTCGAGAGGAGGATCCAAGAGGTAAAGATCTCCAAGAGGAAGAGGCAGAGAAGACACAAGCATATCTCTGAGTCTGCAGCTGCAAAGCTGAGGTACCCACTCAGAGGAACTTTTGTATTTTAACTAGCAAAGACTTTAGGTCAACTATAATAAAAATAGTGGAAACAGAGGCAGCAGCCCACACTGCACCTCTGCTAGCTGAGCTCCCAGCCCGGTGGGGTGCAGGCACTAGCTACGCCATGGTCCCTCAAGCCCTGCTTCTCTGCTGCACATAGGCACAGCTTCCAACGGGACAGCAAAGGTGGCTGCTGCCCTCAGCAGACAAATGCCTTGCAATTAAAGTTGTGGCTTGCAAATAGGGAATTGGCTAGCTGCAAACATGTCAGGGTGAGGGAGGGTTGAATCCAGTCCTCTGACTCCATGGGAGAGGACCCAGGCTCTGATGATCTGGGGTAAAAGAAGGGTGAGTAGCACCGCTGCATTGCAGAAGAATAAACTCTGCTCAGGTCTTCAGAGTGAAGGTTAAATGTCACCTTTCTGCACTTTCCAGTGTTCCCCAGTGTTACACTAGAAGCCTGGGTGCCTCATTCATACTTTTATTTATAGTAATGCACATAATGTGCAAAATAATCAGCCTTTTACAGGCCCATGAACAGTGCAGTGCATGCTGCAGAGAACATCCCGAGGACTGAGGACAAGGACTCGTTTGCTGCCCAGCCAATAAGGGTTTCTGACAGCAAAGCAGATGAATAATCACCCTTTTCCAGACACTTCACATCTATGCAACTACATTTTATCCAGTGATCACACATAACTTTGCAAACACATTAATTCACCCATGGGCTGGGCTATTTGCTTAGAGAAGTCAATGGTGCAGTCTGACAGCCATCACAGCAGAGCTTCTGAGCAGGGTCACACGGAAAATGGCAGAGATGAAAATAAAGCCATCGGACATGCCAGCCAGCCTGAACTAGCAGAGAGTGCTCCCTCCCTACCCTGGTCCAGCTTTAGCACATCCTGAAACACCGCAACCTAATCCTCCTCACAGGTGGGAACCCATATCTAGTCCTTCTGTGGATCCAAACTCTTTCCTTCTCAGCCACAGCTTTCTTGGCTGGATTACACGAGGCTTGGGAAGAGCCATGCACGTTCACAGCAGCTGTGACCTCCGGTGGGAGCCAGAGGTTAAGAGGGACTGTGCTCACACCCCTCGTTACAAACCCACCACCTGTGCTAACGCTGCCTCCTGCTACAGCTGATGCCACTCCGAAATCCAGTTTCCTGTCATCTGTAACTGCAAGACTTGCAGCTGACTTGTTTGGGATAACACTTGATGCAGGCTGACTTTAGAATATATATTAAATTATACATGCACTTACACACACACATACACGTATTTATGTACAGATTTTTAAAACTTACAGGACTGTTTAAAATGTTTCTGATTGGGGGAAAAATGCAGTGGGGAGAACCACATTGTTTTGTGCAGCTTAAATCATTCTGGTACCTTTTTTATTTTAAAAAGTTATCTGTGGCTGGGAGTTGGGGGATGGAAGCCCATGCATTTTGGCTATGAGCTTATTTTTGTTCTCCTTGTGTAAATAGTCCCAAATTTAAGACTTCATATTTTTTAAACAACCTGTCTCTAGGAGTTCATTTTATCATGTACTTTTTTGTCTATGAGGCTCGTAGCTGTGGCTGTGTCTGTCTGTGCATCACAGGCATCTATCAGCTGACAGCTACGATGTTGAGCTAAGGTACGACAACAGTATTATTTCCCAGTTTAGGGTCAAGGATTTTGGGCACAGAGAGATTAATGATTTCAGTGTATTGACTATATTTTGTTGCCCAGCTTTTATCACATAACACCTGATTTTTCATAGTAGAATTGCCTCATACAGCATTTGATATTTTCAAAATCCAGCCTCCATTAACCTCAGATGCTGCTACAAGTGATCAAACTATCTGCAGCTCAGGTCTAAGGCTTTAGGTTGAGCAACTCGGGAGCAGAGAACATCTGACTAGAAGCCATTTATGAACAGCTTGCTGTAAATGACTCTCGAGTATCATATAGGGCTTTCCAGAGGCATGAATGAAATCCAGCTGTCCAGGGCAATGTGGCCTTCCTCCCAGCTACAGGACCTCCTGGCTAACCTGCCATCACTTATCTCCTTTGTCACCCTATGTGTGACAAAGGACAACAAGAGATGCAGTCACTCTGTAGGTAAGTGAGCAACCTGGAAACATGCCATGAGAACTCGGTGGATCTTTGGCTTTCACCTAAAGATTTCTGTAGGCAAGGAGAGATCCAGGCCTGCAGCTTTGGGATGCTTTGAGTGAGAGCTCCATCGCAACTTTCAGGGTTTCTGTTGAAACAAATAGTTTTTTTCCTTTGCTGGTGAAATGTGCCATTTATTCCATTTTATTAGTGTCTTCCTCCTCTTCCCCACCTTCTCAGGGTCCGATTGCTTCTTCTCATCTGTATGGAAAGTGCCTCCAATAATTTTCTAATTCTCAGCTTCTTTCTGCCCTATAAAAGCTTTGCCACCCACTAGCGTCCACCTCCACATTACTTACACCCACCGCACGGGGACAGATGCTCGAAAGAGCTATAAAGGTGGTGTGACTAGTGAGTCTTTTAATCCTGGTCTTCTTTTAATTTCTCTTCTGCTATTTTTTAGTATGCTAATCAGATTTTGTAAATGTCTCAGATGAAAGAAAAGAGAAGAAAGGAAAAAAACCACCCCTTCAACCTATTTTGTCAAAAACTGTACTTCCATATCTGAAATTCAGAAGTCCAAGCCAAGGCTCGTGTTGGGGATTTATTTAAAATTTTAATTACACAAAATCTTGTTCATTATGAATGCATCAGTTGAATTTCTTAAGTACTGAATATTAGTTGCAGCTCTGGCAGTGGAAGGATTTGTTTTCCTTAATATCAAATGGCAGTGAGAGGACAACTTCAAGCTCATTTTGCTAATCTCACTTTGCAACATAATCAGGCGTGACTTGGTGACACAGTGCACGGGATGTGTTAATGGCTGTCCTCATGCTAATTACACACCTGTGAGTGTGTAGAGAAAATACTGCTTTAGTACATGTTTGCACTGTAGCACCACGCTTCTCTATACCAGAGGACTCTGAATTTTAGATGAAGCCACATATTTTTAGAGATATTTTGGAAAAAGGGAATTTGGTTTTGTGGTAGATGTAGCAAAAATATGTTATAGCATTTTAAATGTATTCCAGATGGAAAGAAAGATATTATTCTCAAATTAAAACTCTTTTCTTGATTTTCAAAAATCCTGGTTTTCAACATAAATTGCCATGCAGTCTTCAAATGCAAGCAAAAAATATCAAGAAACTAGACATTCTGCAATATATTGAAAACAATATGATTATAATAAAACAAAAACAAGATCCATGCAAAAGAATTTCAGTCTTGTAGACGCTTTCTGAGAGACATCTAGGCATAGATACTGGCATGGTCTCCAGCTCTCCAGCTCTACTGCTTTGAAACTAAATTTGATGAACCATTCCCAGTCCAGGTGGGAGGACACAGAAACTTTCTGTGTTTCAGGCTGAAGGGAGATGCACTACCTCACTGACCCTCAGCAGAAGCTGCAAACGAGTCATGGTCACCCAGACAAATGATCCCAGTTTAGCTGCTGTGTTTGCTGGATCTTACTCAATGGCTAACCTGGGATCACCTTCTGTGTTTACTTTGAGGAATAAAATACATAGATACAAGCAAACATACACACACGGGCAATTCCTGTGGAGCATCTGGCATGGTTATTTGCTAGCCAAAATAAATGAAAAGCATGGAGATTAAATGGATGAAATGGAAGCATTCGGATATGCAGAGGTCTGGCAGGTTGACAAGTTGATCTACATTGCCTGCTCTGGGGTCGTTGCCCTGTGCCTGCTCCAAGAGCTTAACCAAGGATGAATCTTAGCTTTAAGATCTGCAACAACTGAAAAAGTCATCCTGTCTTTGAGTGAAGGCAGTATGAGATCGTGACTGAGGGAATGTGCAGGACCAGACACGCTCGTAGTGTCCGGACCATCCCTGCTCAGTGAAGATTTATCCTGCACCCATGCTCACTACCCTCACTGACGTTGCCTTTCTGCTCTCTGTTACTTGAATTTGGGATTCCCTGACAGAAACATTGTCTTCCTGGAAATTTGGAAGGACTTTTAAAACTAAGGGGAACAAAAGAATACAATGTTTCTGTTACTCAAGGAGAAGCCCGTGAGGATGCTTTTGCCACTACCATTTAAGTATTTTGCAGAGGCACTGAAGCAAGGAGATCAACTGGAGTTGGTTTGGTTTTGCAGGAGCCACTGTCCCCACCGTGACCATGGAGGGAGTGGGGACAGACTGTCTCCATCATAAGGAGCTTCTCTGAAGTGCAGATGGCTACTGGGTACAAATCCAGACCCCGGATTCTGAGTTACAGCTACCATCAGCAACACAGGTGAAAAGGGTGGGCAGCTGTAGATCAGAAACATGGGCTTTCTCCTCTGCTGGTAGTTTATCATAGAATGGTTTGGGTTGGAAGGAACCTTAAAGATCATCTAGTTCCAACCCCTCTTGCCATGGGGGACACCTTCCCCTAGATCAGGTTACTCAAAGCCTTATCCAACCTGGTCTTGAACACTTCCAGGGATGGGGCATCCACAACTTCTCTCGGCAAACGGTTCCAGTTCATTATTTCATTCAGAGATAATCTGATCATTTCCCTCTCCATTTCAGTTCTGAAGGACCCTAAACCTCCTTCTGGCAGACTGCCCAGCCTTGCAGAGGGGCTGTAGCCACTACAGATACAGAAGAAGCCAGGCTAGAGAGTGGGATGTGCCCCCAGGACCTAATTTCCCTTGAATTCCCTTTGCTGAATTTTAGGGCTGAGCACAAAGCAGTGACAACAAACCATAGTGTAGAGTATTCGATGTTGCATTGCAACTGCTAAGGCACTGGGGCATGGAGAAGTTTACCACATTCTCCTTGGACTAGGAGATTTTACACCTTATTTAAGGAAGGATGATGCTTCTAAACACCATTCCCTTCGGCCACACAGGGAAAGTGTTGGAAGCCAAGACACATGCTGTCAGCTCTTGCTCCAGATGGGCGGTGTGTAACCATTGTTTATCTCCAGATTGCTCATAAGGCAATGCTGGTTGTGGCTCTGGGAGATGTAGCAAACGGCCTGCGTATGTAAGAAGAGATAATTCAAAATGTAGAATTATCTGAAGATTCATTTAATCCTTTATCTGCTTTGTATTTTGTATAAAGCCTGTTAACAAAGTGCAAAACCATTATAGGCTTTAATTAAAAACAAAGTGACAAAGTAGTTCCAGGCTGCATCTGCTCTGTCTGATAGGGGAGGCAGAGTTCACAAGAGCCCTATATCTGACCTGTTGATTTTGTGTTTTACATTCACACTGAGAAAGAAATTATATGGAAAGAAAAAAAAAAAAGAAGAAATTATTGCCCACTGTGCTCATAAACTTTCCAGTTCAGACTGGCTCTAATAACTCATCATCCAATATTCATTTGCAAGTTACTACAGTAACAGCATGTCTCTAAGAGGAGCAGATTTGCTGGTGTCATCTGAGATAATTAGACCAAATCCACCCTGAGACAATCAAAACGCTTCCCTTCCATCAGGCAACCTCCAGCTATCACAATCATATGACATTTAAATTTACTAACTGTGAAGGGATGCCATCCAGAGGGACCTTGACAGGCTGGAGAGGTGGGCCTGTGAGAACCTCATGAAGTTCAACAAGGCCAAGTGCAAGGTCCTGCACATGGGTCGGGGCAATCCCAAGCACAAGTACAGGCTGGGTGGAGAATGGATTGAGAGCAGCCCTGAGGAAAAGGACTTGGGAGTGCTGGTGGATGAGAAGCTCAACATGAGCCGGCGATGTGCACTGACAGCCCAGAAAGCAAATCGTATCCTGGGCTGTATCAAAAGAAGTGTGGCCAGCAGGTTGAGGGAGGTGATTCTGCCCCTCTACTCAGATCTCGTGAGACCCCACCTACAATACTCTGTTCAGCTCTGGAGTCCCCAACATAAGAAGGCCATGGAGGTACTGGAGCGAGTCCAGAGGAGGACCACGAAGATGATCAGAGGGCTGGAGCACCTCTGCTATGGAGACAGGCTGAGAGAGTTGGGGCTGTTCAGCTTGGAGAAGAGAAGGCTCCAGGGTGATCTTCTAGCAGCCTTCCAGTACCTAAAGGGGGCCTACAGGAAAGCTGGAGAGCGACTTTTTACAAGGGCGTGTAGTGATAGGACAAGGGGCAATGGATTCAAACTGAAAGAGGGCAGATTTAGATTAGATATAAGGAAGAAATTTTTTACATTGAGGGTGGGGAGGCAGTGGAGCAGGTTGCCCAGAGAAGTTGTGGATGCCCCATCCCTGGAGGCGTTCAAGGCCAGGTTGGATGAGGCTTTGGGCATCCTGGTGTCGTGGAGGATTTCCCTGCCCATGGCAGGGGGGTTGGAACTAGATGATCTTTGAGGTCCCTTCCAACCCTAACCATTCTATGATTCTATGATTCTATGATTCAGAATCATGCCCCGGAAGTGCCAAAGGATGGCACAAACATTACTGGTCTGCTGGAAGGAGAGAAAAGAGGTGGTGATTGTTGAGCAAGGCTGCAACATCCCCTGGTGGGACCCATGTCTCTACTCCCATCCACACACACCTCCTGGACAAGGATTTGTTTTATGGTCTATGTCACGATGCTCTTCCAACTAGCACGGGATAATGAGTAATTAAGCCTATGCCAGGCAGGTCACAGCTGAGTTTAGATCCTGGGCTGGATAGGTGCAGCAGGGAGGGAGCACAAGGCACCCGGTGCCGCTGACATTGTCTCCGTGTCCTGTCTCATAAGCTATGCCTACATCTCTGTAACAACCTGAGCAGCGTATCAACCATAAGATACTCCTCATTTTTGGTTAGCACTTCTTCTGAGAGCTGTGCCTGGGGGAATGCAAGAGTGGCTTATACTCACATCTGCCTTCCTCCTGCTGAGGCACTACCAGCACTGGCGGCTGACCAACATCTCAAACCCATCCAAAATGGCAGGGTGTGGTGAAGGTCATGCTCAGGTTTCAGGAGCATTAGGAAAGGAAGAGGGGAAAATAGACTGTCCTGGGCTCAGAGTAATTCTCCTTTCCCCTACAAGTTCTTGCCCCTTCTCCACTAGTGACCTAGTCATGAGCATTCAGCTCACCCGTGCTCTGGGTACCTGCAACATGAGTTGCAGTGTTGAATGAAAAGTCTCCTTGTTAAAAGACAATCCAAAAATTCATCATTATTCTGCTGACAGCTGAAAGTGTGGCTTGAGTTTGTGCAGCCAGTTTCAAGAAAGGGTAAAATCACAAAACAATCCAGATAACCAATGCGAGCCATTATCTTTGGGCATGAAAAACAATCTGCAAGTCTGGGGACATTTTTTTAGTTTGTGTAATGTATGTTGCTGCTTCATTGATATATTCCTTGCAGCAAAGAACGGGACATTTCTGTGGGAACATTTGGCTTGTGTCACAAATACTTATTTTAATTTTGTGCTAATCAAAGCCTGTTCCTTCTTGTTCTTCCCACTCAAATTCTCAAATAATAGTTCTTCTAGAAGTTTTCTTTGTATGGGGAGGATGCAGGTGGAAAGAAAGAACAGAAAAGGAGGTTCAGTTTAGCCAGAGAAGACAATGTTCCACCTACAGCAAAAAAAAATATCTCTATTAATAGAGTGAAAGTTTACAGGGTTTTGTTGAAGAAAAGAAAAAAAAACCAACACACAAAACCTTTTGAGTTAACATTCATGGTTATGGAAAGGTACTGTACTGCCGGCCCTCAAGTTTGCAGTGCTCTGCCTGCAGAAGGAGCAAAGCACAGAGAACAACAGCATTCATTTTTTCCCCAGCCTGCCCTGTCAAAATGCCTCAGATCTGAGACAAAGCAGAGGAGGAGAGGTCATGCCAGTCTCCATGCTGCGCCTCCTGCAGCGTTGTCTTTTGGGGGAGGGAATCCCCTGGTATACGCTAGCCTTCCGGCACCTCCGCTCTGACCTCATGTGCTACCAGCAAGAGGGATGTCATAGAATCACAGAATCATAGAATGGTTGGGCTGGAAGGCACCTTTAAAGATTATCTAGTCCAATCCCCCTACGGGGCGGGGATACCTTTCACAGGCAGGGACACCTTCCACTAGACCAG